CGGGGAAACCAAGCAGAGGCTCGGGGACCGCTTTGCAGAACACCTACGCTCGGTTCGCAATAAACAACTGCACCTCCCAGTCGCGAACCATTTCAACTCCCCCTCCCATTCCTCAGACGACATGTCCATCCTGGGCCTCCTGCAGTGCCACAACGATGCCACCCGAAGGTTGCAGGAACAGCAACTCATATTCCGCTTGGGAACCCTGCAGCCCAATGGTATCAATGTGGATTTCACAAGTTTCAAAATCTCCCCTCCCCCTACCGCATCCCAAAACCAGTCCAGCTCGTCCCTGCCTCCCTAACCTGTTCTTCCTCCCACCTATCCCCTCCTCCCACCTCAAGCCGCACCTCCATCTCCTACCGACCAACCTCATCCCGCCCCCTTGACCTGTCCGTCCTCCCTGGACTGACCTATCCCCTTCCTAACTCCCTACCTACACTCACCTTTACTGGCTCCATCCCCGCCTCTTCGACCTGTTTGTTTCCTCTCCACCTATCCTCTCCTCTATCCCTCTTCTATCCGCCTCCCACTCTCTCCCTATTTATTTCAAAACCCCCTTCCCCTCCCCCTTTTCTGATGAAGGGTCTAGGCCCGAAACGTCAGCCTCTCTGCTCCTATGATACTGCTTGGCCTGTTGTGTTCATCCAGCCCTGCACCTTGTTGTCTCATGAGATTAGGCCAGTTGAGCTCTAGGCCCAGATTGAAGCCTGGGCCTTTCCTGCTCCGTGCAGGTGGGAGGGGCTGACACTCAGCGCACAAAACATGAGATTAGGTCAAATGGTCACTAGGCCCGGATTGAAGCCTGGGCCTTTCCTGCTCCCCGCAGGTGGGAAGGGCAGACCCTCTCAGCACACAAAGCACGAGATTAGGCCAATTGAGCACTAGGCCCGGATTGAAGCCTGGGCCTTTTCCTGCTGTGCAATCGCGGGGAATCAAGGCTGCTCTGCTCTTCCCGCAGGTGATCTACGACTTTGGCGTCTCGTTCATCGTCATCATGTACACGTGGGCCGGGCTGGCCTGCCTCGTCTTCCTCAACTGCTACGTCAACTGGCCCCTCCAGGCCTTCCCAGACCCAGAAGAGGCCAGTTACGTGTAGGTAGTGCCCGTTTACCCCTGGGTGGGGGTGCGGAGTGGACCGGGCCCGGTAGTGATCGGAGGGGCGGGGGGGGGGGGGGGGGGAGGTGACGGTATGCTAGAAATAAGGCCAAAGCCCACCCGTTGCTGGTTTGGTTAAACCAAAACACAGGCAAAAGGAGAAAGCGCTGGAGTGGGACGGGTGGATCGAAGGGGAATTAATGGGAAGGATGTTGGCTCCTTGACAAACGACACGAAGCGATAAACCAGGGGGTGGGGGAATCATATATGGACACCCCCGAGCTGTCCAGGGGTGGCGTTGGGCACGATGTTAGAGACGCAAAGCGACAAAGGAACGTTTATAACGACAGGCAGCTTCAATCTGTGTGCGGATTGGGAGAATCAAACAAGGAACGGCACCGCAGAGGGGGATATCTCGGAGCCCAATACGGTTCTCCGGCCCAATACGGTTGTTGGAGGAGGTTGGGGGGAAGCCAGTGGGAGAACAGGCCGCGTCAGAGGATGAGGAAGGGTCCCGAACCCCCGAAACGTCGGCTTTCCTTGCTCCTCTGACACTGCCTGGCCCCCCACCGCTGTGTTCCTCCAGGCTCCAGGCCGCGCTATCTCTGAGAAAGGCATTGTCAGCCATGCGGTTGCTGTCAGGGTGTCCTTTGGGGAAGAGCGACCATAATATGGTCGTCGAAGTGGAGAGTCATTCGGTCGATTCGGAGAATCGAGATGGGACAGAGGATACGGGGCGTGGGTTGGCTCCGAGAGGGAGGGTGGGAGGAAAGATTTCTGGGTGAACTGAAAACAGTTGTCCGTTGCCTGGCGGGTAGAGGAGTGGCGAGACCCCGTGGTGTACGGGAACTGAGAGAGAGAGAGAGAGAGAGAGACCAGCCTCAAGAGAGTGAACGCGTGTGACTCCCTCCCCTCGGACAGGAAGAAGATCAAGCTGAGCAGCCTGGCCCTGGACCACAAAGTGACTGGAGACCGGTTCTACGTTCACGTCAGCAATGTGGGCCAGAGGCTGAGCCAGAAGGTTCCAGAACAGGACGAGTTCAAGCATCTCTCCACAGACAGTATCACCGAGAACTGCAGCACCAAGGGACCCGCACGGCCCCCCCCACCTCACTCGCTCTTAAAGGGACTTGTACAGCCCTCCCCACCTCACTCTTCCCCACCTCACTCACTCTTAAAGGGACCCGCACGGCCCTCCCCACCTCACTTGCTCTTAAAGGGACTTGTACAGCCCTCCCCACCTCGCTCTTAAAGGGACTTGTACAGCCCTCCCCACCTCACTCTTAACGGGACCTACATAGCCCTGCCCATCTCACTCTTAAAGGGACCTGCACTACCACCCCTTCACTCTTAAAGGGACCTCCAAGGCCTACCCTCCCTCACTTTTAAAAGGGACCTGCATGGCTCTCCCTTCACTCTTAAAGGGACATGCAGGGCCCCACCCGCACCCGCTACATGCCGTGAAATACCTGAAGAAGTTGTTTTTTTCCCTCCAAAACCACAGGCTGACAGTAACGGGGGGGGGGGGGGGGTTTAAATGGGTGCTGGTGGAACAGATCTCAATGGTGGTGGGGGGGGTGGTAATCGTGGAGGAGGTGGTCCCGGTGGTGGTTCACACCAGAATCCGGGGGCCGTCTGCAAACGGCAGACCGTAGTAAATCCCGTCAGGAATTCCAGAGAGAGAGAAGGAGAGAGGGCCTCACTGAGAGAGTCGGGGGTGTGGGTGTGGAGGAAGGAACTGGCTCCCACAGGGACCGGACGAGGTGTGTTTGAGGGGGAAGCTGACGGAGAAAGGACCGGGAGGGTGTAGAGATGGGAGTAGAGCAGGTCTGCTAGCACACAGCAAGAGGACCAAATGGCCTGCATCCTGAGCTCAGAATTAAACGGCTCTGCGTGTGATGGGGTTTCCCAGTTGGAATCGCTCAGGCTCTCTCTGTGTTTCCCCCCCCACCCCCCGCCATCGCAGCCTCCATCCCATTACAGAAAAGCGTGCTCTCAGCCATTTTCCTCTGGAGCCTGGTTACCATGGGGATGACACAACTGCGGCTCATTTTCTACATGGCCAGCATGAACAAGATGTTAGAGTTCATCATCACACACGGAACTGGTGAGTATCAACATCGAGACCTCCCTGGACAGGGACAGCATGGGGATATCTCCCTGAGAGAGAGAGAGGGGACTGAGAGACACCAGTCAGTGTACAGATATCTCCCTGAGAGAGAGAGAGGGGACTGAGAGACACCAGTCAGTGTACAGATATCTCCCTGAGAGAGAGAGAGGGGACTGAGAGACACCAGTCAGTGTAC